TCAAGTGAAAAAATCTTAAGCTTCTCACCGAGAAAAAGATAAATTTATATATCAAAAGGTAAAAAGACAATTGCTTAGTGATTAGAGATGGGAATTATACGGTATAATTAAAATTGTATAATAACCACATTATTATACCGTATAATAATTGTATAATAACCATATAGACAGTACATATAGGTTTGTCACGGGTTTGCTCATTTTTATGAAAAATTTTATCAGATTTCTATTGGCCAACTTTGTTACACTAAAATATTATACCATACAGTCTTCTGGTAATATATAAAATGATATAATTATAAAACTGCTAAACTAATTTTAATAATTCTACTACTATTACAGGATTAGAACCGAAATAGCTTGCTTTATAATATTTGTTAGAAACTCAAGAAAGGTTTACTTGGTATAAACAAACTTTTTATTGTAAGCTAACTCATTCTATTCCTATAGAAACTATATTAACTTCCATTAATTTCTATTATTAAATTTTTGATTTGTTATACCTTTAACCATGATTTATCTCCTAATATATTTTTAATAGTTGTGACCTAATAAATATCCAAATATAATTCCATTCAACTATATATATTATATTGCTAATATTTTTGCTCTTTTTCTAGAAAATTGCAGGATTATTGTAAATTTTGGCATATTTACCTAATGCCCAAATTGTAAAAATGAATTTATAATTTGGATAACTAATTGCACAATTCTTGTTAAATACTCCTTCTATAGCCTCTTGCTTCCATTCACCTGTTGGGAATTGTCGTGAAGCGATCAGCTATAAACAAGGCGGTTTTGATAAAGATATAAGTACTAATTTCATTATATAACAGAAATAAGAATAACTTATATAATCGATATATACCTGTATACCACGTTGAATTGGTCTCTCATTTGGATATTTACCTGCCATTAAAGCAAGCAATGCACAAGCAGTATTTACAACTTGTGAGTTTTCATGGTGTATATAAGCCACTTCTTCACATGACTACTTATTAAGCAAATAAATAAATAATCTTGAATATAATAAATAAATAAAATCTTTTAAATATATGATATAAACCTTATAGGATTCACCCCAACCACCATCATCCTTTTGTTTAGAAATCAAGAAGTCGCATCCCTTTCTAACTACCTCGCTAATTAACAAAATTATTAATTCAATTGATTCATTTCCATGACGCAAAATTAATTAATATGCTTATGAAATGCATATAATACCTGTTTTCATATGTTTCACCAAAATTTTCAAGACATTGAATAACAAACATGGCAGCATATGTGTAACAAATAGCCCAAGAGCCATACCAACCTCCATTCTCATCTTGAGAATTATGTAGGTATATAATTGCGTTTTTGGAAATTTGCCTAAACCAAAGAAAAAATTTAATATATAAAATAATTATAAGCTTAATAAAATTTATAAAAAATTATTACTTAATTTCATCAGCCCTATAAGCAGGATACCATTTCTGGAACGTATTTAGAGCTGTTAAGACACAAGCTGTACATTCTGGATAACTATATTCAATCATAATATTTCCAAAAACTTCTGCAGGATTTAACCATTCAAGAATTTTTAGGCCTCTAGTACGCTCGTAACTCGCAAATCCTCCATCAGTATTTTGCATAGATAGTAATATATCAACAGTCTGACATAATCGTTCTTTAGATACTAAATCTGGCGTGTAACTAATTTTTTTTACCACAAATCAAAAATAAACATGCGTTTTCAATAGTTTTTTTCAAACATCAAATTTTGGCTCAGAAAACATACCCAAGATTTTTTTGAAGACTAAGTACAGCTTTGATACCTAAACTAGAACAATCTGAAACATTGTATCCCTGTTCACGAGTACTAAAACCCCAAGCACCTAATGCTTTATAACGATAACATCTTTCATTATCTTTGGGATTCTTTTTTATTTGCGCATCGTCTAAAAATTCGAGTGCATGTATCATTGATTGGTGATTTGAAGGATCATCTGCCAGTCCTATCAAGAGAACAAGTTTAAATAATTGAGCATCCAAATTTGATAAAACGCAATTACTACCTGCTTCAATTACGGCAAGGACTGTAAGCGCAGTGTCCCAAACTTGAGTACCATTTGTACCACACATCATCATTCCTTCTGGACCTAGCCTAAACAAATAATAACCTTTAATATCAACTTAAGAAATAAAATCTAAAAATAACTAAGATTTTCATACCACATATAATCAATTAATCTTTCTTTAGAAAGCTTGAATGCTTTAGAATCTGGCCCTTCTTCATAGTATGTACAAAGAACGTGCATTACTTTACTAACCTAACAATTTAAAAAATTCTCAATCTTGGATATTGTGAATAAAATAAAATAAAAATAACAATGTAAAAGTCTATGTTTACAGGTGCAATATCAAGAAAATCCGTATTTTCATCTTCATATTTAATTAATTCATAACTCTCTTGAAGAGAAATATTACGAATTCCAAGAAAATTAGGAAGTTTTTCATAAATATTTAATATAGCTAAAATAAAAATGAATTAATCTTCAATAACAATTACTAAAGAATGAATAAATTATAAAAAGCTAAATATACAATTGCAAAAATTTAATATTTTGGTATGCGGAGCATAAAGGTCAACTTCTGCAATATTGTTTCGGGCTTTAGACCAATTAATTGTCTCAAATGGTTGAACATATAATTCCTGCCTAAGTTGTTTGATTAATGGAGTAACTTCGGCACTTATTCTATGTCCATAACAGTATCCCATTGGGAGGTATACTGCACGAGTATGAACCCAAAAACGACCTGGATGAAACGGTGCAGAGTATGGAAGGAGCCTTTTTTCATTTATTAAAAGAAAGTTATAAAAAAAAAAAGGAAAAAAATTTTTTTTGAGAAAATCACCATAATTCTGGTGGAATTGGATTAAGCCCTTCCCAGTCATACACATTTAAACATGCTAGCCAAAATTTTCCCCATGAAGGCGCACCAATTGCACCTCCTATTAAGTCCCCGAAATTTTGCACATAATTAATATGAATTCTTGCAAGAATAATAAATCAACATTAAACCACTTACCAAGTTTGTGCAAAGTTTCTCTACTTTTTAACATTACCGGATGATCGGGATCAAGACCTAAGATACGAAGCACAACATAATTCAAGGCAGTTCCAAATACTGTTGAATGATGTTCAATATGCCTAAACCAAATTTAAAATTGTGGCTTGTTCAACCCAACAAATCTAAAGCAAAAAGGATGATATCACAGAAGACAGAAGGCAGAAAATGAACTTACAACCCCCATCCACCATCAACAGGATTTGCTTTATTTACCACATATCGAATAATTTCAATTCTCCAAGATTCCGGGATAGGAATATGTGTAATAAACATTGTGATAATAAGTCCTGGTATCAAAAACATTGGCCCACCATATTCACCTGCCCAATGTCCATCAGAAGTTTGTAATTGCTTAAAAAATTCGAACCCATTTCGGGCTGCTTTGAAAGCTGTTTTTGGTTTTTCAAATGTTTTCGATTCCTTTTTATATTTATATTATTTTTAAATTAGGAATAGATATGGTATTGATGAAAAATGATTTTTTTTCGACTAGCATCCGGGTACAAATTTATAACAAAAAAAAAAAAACTTACAAAAGGTAATCCAATCCAATACTTTTCAATGCAAGATTGAGGCCAATTTTTAGCCTCATTCTCATCATCTAAATAATGCCATGTCTGTCTACCATGGT